TTTTATTAATGTCTTTAGTAAATATACATTTTCTATTTATTCCATAAAACCTTCTTTTTAAATTAACTCCTGAAGACGAAAATGTAGTCTCAAGAATGAAGTACCGAAATCTTAGACTAGATGGCGCTGACTTTCCCGCCTCGCTACGGACTACGAGATTGCTACGAGCAGCTACGAGTCAGCTCTGTANGGGCGAGGGCGAGGGCGGCTATAATATAGGGGGCGCTGTTTAATTTTTCATACAAAATTTTTCGATGACACTTTGAATACGCAACGAAACGAACTCGAAAGTTTTTCGTACTAGAGGTACTGTACCTGAAGCACTTTATCACGTCGCTTGATTTATTTTCTCTGGGTTATTATCGTAGTATAAAATATAAAAATAAATAGGTAGTTCTTTGAATTTAATTGCAATGAAATTTTGAGACTAACATACGAGTACCAATACAAATAATTAAGCGATGGTCATGTAGCGATTCATTAGTCATACTTACTATTTTATATTAGAAAATTAGCTACTCATACTCTTATAAAGTGACCAGATTTCTGATCCTTGATTCTGTTTAATACAAAAACTGATTGTTCCACATATTTCATGGTATAGTCAGTTACGATTCAACGGTTGGTCTTCAAAAATCCAGGGTTCGAATCCAGGTGAGGCAATCAAAGTAGTGGCGAATCAGTTTGAGATGGTTGTCATTACCTTCCTACTTATTGAATTGATTATTATAGATTGACAGGTACTTTGAAATACAATCGACTATTTCGAACAAAAATTCTGAAAATATGACACCGAATCGCCTAAGTATCTGTGTCCCATAACAATGCTTAAGTATACGTATGTATATCTTTGATTTAAAAGTAGAAAGATAGAAGTATTGAAAATGTAACAACACGTTTTGTTCTTCTTTAAACATTTTTTATTTTAAAAAGTATAACACTGAGTTGTCTTTGGCACTGACAGATGCCATTTTTAAAAAGATAACTTGGCAACACTTACTGTTGACACTTACTAATCTGTGCTTGGTCGGTCGGCCATCATTTAAGATCGAGCCGTCTTGCGGACAGGTACTTACGTAAGTAAGATTTAATTATTTTAATGTAAATGTAGGAGAATGTCCACTAGGTGGACCGACGATCTGGTGAAGGTCGCAGGAGGTGTCTAGAGGCGGGCGGCGCAAAGGGAGGCCTTGGGGGAGGCCTTTGTCCAGCAGTGGTATACAGCCCAAAAAATAATTGAGTCCAATGTTTTGCCGTGTCTAAAACCATGACCATGGCGTCTGAGGGACTGTGGGGCTTAAAAATCAATGCAAAATTAAATCTCCTTACTAATAAAAATTACACGCTGTTTATGGAAATGTCATCATAAAACAAATGCTAATATTCTTTTAAAAAAATCTGTGCACAGCAAGTGTAACTTTTTATTAGTAAGGAGGCAAGTAAGTATGTATAACAAAAACCATAAAATCAGTGTCAAATTATAAAAGCAGCTACGTTTCTAAATTCCTTCACAAACATAAGATTAGCCAGTTCAAGAATAATGCTACCAAAATATACGAATAAGGTTCATCAAAGAACAAAGGCGTGTGTTGCCGGCCCACGGCGAAACAAAAACAAAACTAAAGTATTACAGAAGCAAGTAACTTTTGGGAAACTTCACATTCATTATTTACCTTATCTACTCTGACAGAAATAACTAGGCAGTTATTTTACTAATTAAACAAAACCAATAGAGCTAACTAGAAATTCCAAAATTTTATACGCCTATTATAATCTAAAAGTTGATTTTAAAACCTATTGTGTTCAAAACATCCAATAGGCATCCCAGTTTGGCATGCGAAGTATGAAAGACCATGATTAATCAACATCAGCATAGGCTATCCTTTGTTCGGCTCTATTTACCGGTACACAGTGATGACATCTCATTATATACGCGGCTGTATACCTATCTACCTATCTAGGAAGCTTGCACGCAAAAATCTAGTGCTAGGTGTCTCCCTGCACACAGGCGCGTGCCACCCGCGGCACACAGACGAACCCAAGGAGCGAGACTGCGTGCTAGAAAAAGACAGACATAAAAAACCCCCGATGGTGTGAGGCGCTGCCCCCAAAAAAAGCACCAAAAACGCAATCTGCGCAACTTTCCGGCGCAGAATCGTTAACGACTCCCGCTCTCTTTATCGTGTACGCCGTGCCTCCTATATTTCTATTTTTTCTACGTACCCCATACGGCATAAGACGGTTCCACTTCCAACCGAATGTAGCTTCTAAAAATAGTCGCACAAAACGCAATTTCGGACGCTTTCCGAGCGGCGTTTACCCGGCGCGACGGCCGCCGACGCACACACTCGCACCGGAACAGAAATAACGATCGCTTTTTTGACCGAAAAGGACGGACAGATGGCTGAAAAGAGAAGAAAAAAATGACGACCATTTTGCTTGGCGCACCTACGGCGGGCGAGGTGAGGTTTATGTATGCGATCTTTTTTGAGAAAAAAACCCAACCAAAACAAATGCACGTGGCCGGGTGTTATGACCGGGCGAAAAATTCGCCCGCGCGCTAAGAGATGCCGTTACGAGCGGCATTTTTTTCCGCGGGCCTTTTAGTTTAGGAAAAAATTACGCGGTGGCGCTTGCGTGCTCTCGGGGCTGGTTCGAAGCTTTCTTGGGAGCGTCTCGCGCTTTGGGGTTTATACGTAATCGTAGAACTCGTATGAAATGTTTTTGTATAGGTGGACATCACTTGCTTGGAATGATCGAACCTTAAAATATGAACTTTTCAATAAAGACGTATTTCATCATCATCATCATCATTTCAGCCACAGGACGTCCACTGCTGAACATAGGCCTCCCCCAATGACTTCCACATCGCACGGTTGGTAAGACGTATTTGACTCAAAAAAATAATGATACCAAATGAATTAATACAGCCATTAATGAAAAATATTGTAATGCCGAAATACTCAAATCTAATATTTTTATTCTTTGAGCCTCCTGATTGAGTATTTGTAGAGCAATGTTAATTACTTTATTGGGGTAGACAAGTTTTTGTTATGTTACCAGTAAGAGATAAATAAATCATAAAGTACTAAATCCCAATTCGGCAATCTACTCATTATAGACAATTAATACACAAGCTCATTATATCATAATGATACTACACTTTACAATATTCTATAATCAAAATCAGAAGATTATTTGTGCTTCATGGGATTGCCTTTGCCTTTTCAACTTAGTTGAATCGTTTTTGTTTAAAAACTAAATCTGATTCCTTTGATTTCATTCTCCAGACACAGTTCACACAGTACAGACACCATTTACTTATAAAATTTAATACAATAGAGAATAGTAGAAATATTACAATGTTTAAGTAGCTCCCAAAAATTACTAGTAATACCTATGTTGATTGGATTTGAGAGCTTTAGTATAGAAAATTGATTATTCGTAATAAAAATATCTATGTAATGAAAATTCATCCCTCTACATTTTCAGCGCTTAAAATCCGTTGGTTGGAAACAATTTTATAAATAAAGTAGATTAGTTTATAATATTTTTAATTCAGGAAAAAGCATGAAAAGCCGCTGTCGATTCCAGTGAAAATTTTAAGCTTTGCAAAAGCTTGCAGTGGGCACACCAAATAACGTTTAGTATAAATAAAACAACCTATTAATTTGAAATCGTTTATTTATTTAGCGGAGTCGGCAAATAATGTATGATTGTAATTGGCCGATTTGTAACTCTAGTTATACTTGTTTTATGTTTAGTAATAACTATCGGGGATTTCATAAGAGTCATTAATTGAACTAGCTTTTAATTTAAACGAAATAGTAACAAACTTGGTTTTAGAAACAGTTTTTGAAATGCTTTGGTGAAATAAGTTATTGAAATTAAAATGTATGAAACTTTATTATTTAAAGTGTTCACTTTGATCTTAGCCAAAAGGCCGAGAAGCGATGAATAAAGTATTAGGTAGGTTATTAGGTATACTATCTATGTATTTAGGTAAATTTTGTCACAATGTTAGCTTTGTTTTAATGTACTAAAATAGACAAAGTTTTAATATAATATATTTGACAGTGAAATAATTGGGTACCTAACTCAACTATTTGAAGTCCACAATATATCGTCACATACCGTCTAGTTCATGTAGAACACTAAGAATCATAATATTCTGTTCAACGTGAAGTTACACACTTTAGGGTTGATTAGGCCAAACAAGAGTAAGAATAAATCGTCAGTTTTGACATATTTCTTTCTGTTATGTTATTTGTTTGGTGTGCAATAAAGTGTATTTATTATTATTATTATACATATTTCCCATATTGAAACTGTCAATGTGCCAGTTATACCAGGAGTTATTCTCGGATAAAAGTTTGGTTAAAAAAAAAACTTAGCGAATAGAGTCGCTTCTCATCTCGTGGGTTCTAGTCCCGTTTTAGGCAGTTCGATTTTTTCAAGTTGTTTATTTCTTTAATGTGACACATTCAGTAAACCCAATTAGTATTAGCACAAGCACAAGCCCCACGAAGCACTGGAATCTCGACGAATGTGTTTTGTAAGCGCACGCATCGCAAGCGCAGCTTCACTGCAGCAAGCATTATGCTTACAGTATTCTCCAGTTGTACGCTCTGGGTTGGTTGGAGAACCTGGAATTGATTAGAAATATAATTATCAGATAAATTGTAAAAAAACGATGAAGTCTTTGCCATTCTAAATTAGTATGGGTGTTTCCGGTTTTAACAGATAAAAATGTTTTATTGATTTCAAAGCACCCAAAATTACATTTTACACTTTAATTAAAGTAATCAAGGATTTGTATATAGAAATAATTGTGCTCTGTTTTTATTGTTTATTGTATGAACCCAAAAACACGTTACAGGCAAACAAAAATGAAAAATAGTGTAAATGTGGATATTTTTTTATGAATTTCAGAAGAGTCGACTATTGTATACTAATACTAACCAGTGATTTTGTGGCATTACTGACTTGCAAGAACGTGGAAGATGATTTGCCACGTCGTCCATCACTCGCGTCTATGCTCGCGTGTCTGAAATCCGCCAATGACATCATTTTAGCCATGCTAGCTAAGTACCTTCAAAAGTCATCATTTTAACTAACTTTAAACATTTTAAGTTCATTTTAAAATTGAAAACTACTGATTAGGTTTTCATAGTGTTGTTAAAACTTAAATTTTAAACTACCCATTAGGTTTGGTGGTGTTAAAATGGGAGATAAAAGATTATTATGGAGCCTGTAGTAAGATTTTGCAATGATATAGTCTTGATGTTTTTAAATTTTACTTTCAAAAAGCTTACCATTTTCTCGTCTTGAATATCCTAGTCAATCTTTTCTCCTATCTGCCTTTATCTGAGTTTCAATAATCTGAAAAAAGAAATATTTTTATTAACAATTAATTTTGTTTATGGCATATTTTACAGCCTAATGTAAGGAAGAATGTATTTCAAAAAGGCCTATTCTTAGTACACTATGTAATTTTAAATAGAAGTTCTGTGGGTAGGTATGTAGAGATCAAATACTTAGAATCAAAGAATAGAACAAGTATTCCTCAAAGCATACCCATTTTGAGGCGAACATAAACTACAATGCTATATTGTATAGTACAGTCAAAGCAAAATGCTATAAAACTGACATTAAGCAAACTTCGTCTTTCTGTATCTGTAATGAGAATTTACGAACTCGTAACATTAATGCTGTTTTAGTCGTAAAATTGTTCAGAATAGAATATTCAAACCTAAACTCCTAAAGAGAGATAGATGTACGGACTGGGAATAATATCTACCTATTACTATTGTCTAGTCATTCGGTAATATGATTTGCCTATTTAGTGCATGTAAATGCGTTTTAGTAGATAAAAAATCTACCAATCTTTTTCTGATGTTAAGGTTGAGATTTCTGATAAATTGATTACGTTGCCTTATTTAGTTAATCTACTTTTATTTATTTCTTGTGATTTAGATATTAGTCTATTATATATTTTCTTTTTCATGCCTAAAAAGAAAATTGACTTAAAAGCTCTAGTAAAACCGTCAGTGTAGGTTATCGATAGAAGTTGTCCCAAAACTTATATGCCAGAAAGAGAGACTCAAATTAAATGAAAACGTAGCCGCCGACGTTCTCATTTAATTTGAGTCTCTCTTTCATTCAATCTTTATCGTAGATACCTATAATTGAACAAAATTGCCAAAGAATACACACAGTAACACACACGAACGGCTGATATTTTGTAAACGTCACTTCGCACTTGATCTAAGAAGATTGAGTAATAAAAATAAAAGTAACAATTGAAGAGCAGTCGAGCAGTGTTCATCGGAGTCAGCCAGACAATCGGCCGCGACAGACGTTGGTTTAGGCGTGTGTGCACAGCTGATGCGTGTTTACCTTTAGCATACGACTAGCTTCTTAATCGATTACGATTTTCTAGTATTTTAATTAAAACAAGAAATGATTTGTTTTCTCTTAATCATACAATCAAATTCCTTTTAGATATGGGATCTTTTTTCATCTGAACATGCTAATATTTCTTTGATCATAAGTAAAAGATTATTGCCTAACTTCAGACTTAGTAACTTCACTCTAACTTAACTAACACTCTACAGATGTGTAAGCAGCACGAAATTGTGGTTTAAGATCTTTATTTTCTCACAAGACAATTATTAAAACCTACACAATCACAACTAAGGCTGAGTTGCACCAACTTACTTTAACCGTAACTATAACAATAACCGGTGCATGTTGTATGGAGTTTGACAGATTTTTGACGTTTGTTAAAGTTAAAATAAGATGGTGTAACTCAGCCTAAAAGTTAAAATTTTAACCAGAGTTAAAGTTTAAGGCTGAGTTGCAACTTTGACCCTAACTTTGACGATAAACGGTGTTTTTGTATGAAGTTTGACAGATTTTTGGCGTTTGTTTAAGTTAAAGTAAGATGGTGCAGCAACGCAGCCTAAAGGGAATACGAGTACATCTACAGCATCTAGAATCCCAAAAACCGAGATCGTATATAATTGGTCCCTAGCGACCATTTCCACGGGCGTACAGTTCCATTACAGCTACAACCAAACCTACGAAACCTATCCATAGTCCACAGAAATGCATCCGAAAGTCACTCGATACGGATTGGTGGAATATTAACGCGCACGAAAACTTTCCCCGTCGCCGGCTAGGGGCAGTAGTTCGGCCCTCGCGCCTTCTGGCCTGGAGAAAATCGATGCCATTTTAACGACGATTTAACCGTTTCAAGCACAGATCGAATGCGTTTCAGAGTGAATCTGAAGGTATTTTTGAACTTTGAATAAGAAACGTCCTTTGAAAGCGATGGAATCCAATGATTTATTGAAAAAATCTAAAATAACCATATTGCAAAGGAATTGCGGTGAAGAGAATCAGTGGAGTTCAATGAATTACTGTACTTCTTTTCTCTTAATTTTTCGTTATGATAATATAAGAACATCAAATCAGTTTGTTTGAAGAATTTTATTGTATTTATTAGGTTCATAGATTGATTTATCTTGATGAAAATGCCTACCTACCTAATTAGTTTGTCTTATATTAAGTCAAATTTTGCTCTCCACATCATTAAATTAAAAACAAAACAGTAGCTCCTATTTAATTTGAATTTTAAATAAATCTTGAATATTCAATCATCTTTATCAAGGCAAATTTTTGCAGACATATGACGCCTCCAAGCGTTCCACACCTAATGCAATATTCTCTATCCCCCACAAAAATGTCTTTATCGTCAGGGTAAATTGACTCAAATCAACCGATCAAATTGTCCCATCCCCATTCGATTACATCCACACCCTGGGAAAGAATCATACAAAGAAATTTCAACTCTAATCTCATGAAAATATGTAGCGAAAGACATTTTCAGCGTGCACATATATTTTTGTCATATTCAAGATGCGAATGGGATTAGAATTTTGGCGAAATTTGCATCAAAGTGATACGTAATTATGTAAGCAGTTTGTGCATATAGAGACGTGGTATATAGGGGTGCGGGCGAGTCGAAATAAAGCGTAAATATAGGGTGTGAGTGTAGTTTTGGCCGAAATCACGAATGTGGGAGGGTGTGCAGTATATGCGCTGCAGTAAGATGAAACAAGACTTGATTAGTAATAAAATCAAAATATTCTTTAAAACCATACTTATTAGAATAAGACACACTATTTTAAACTTATAAAATATTCTCAAAGCGTGTGAAATTATTAGAACTGACCAAAATCACACATACACAACAAAGGCATGTCGTTAAATTTCCATAAAATTACAAAACTTTTATATCAAAATAGAATTTATTAGACGGTATATCCCCCAGATAAAACAGCATCTTCCAGATTGATCCGGTCAGAACCGGTTACCGTGAGACGGTCAGAGATCACGTGTGTCAAAGGATCGCGTTCCCACAATTACGCATGCGCGACCCGAAGGTCAGTGCGCTTGACCGTTGATCTTTTCACTAGATCTTTATAAAAACAGGATCTGTATCTTTTTGAGAGGGGTCATGTTCACTCAATAAATGTTGCGTATCCAGTAGACGATACCAGTGAAATAGAAAAAGGATTTTGCTTTGACCTTTGAAGTCTTAAAGTTTCCTAATATTATTAGTAAAGAACTAATGACCCATCGGGGACTAATAATGGTTCGTAGTTTTCGTTTCTATTATTCGACGGCTACACCTCCATCTATCTTATTAAGAAAAACAATCTTATTTAATAATTTATAAATAAATACATTCCTGATCGAAGGCAATGAACAAGATAAAATATTCCTCAACTAGCTTTCCGCCCGCGGCTTCGCCCGCGTGTAATTTTGTCTGTCACAGAAAAACGTTATCGCGCGCGTCCCTGTTTAAAAAACCGGGATAAAAACTATCCTATGTTCTTTCCCGGGACTCAAACTATCTCTATGCCAAATTTTATCAAAATCGGTTCAGTGGTTCAGACGTGAAAGCAAGACAGACAGACAGACAGAGTTACTTTCGCATTTATAATATTAGTATAGATTAGTATAGAAGTATAGATAGTATAGATAGTATAGAAGTATAGATACCAACACGGAGAAGACAAATTAAACACCGACTCAACAGGAATGATGCTCAAACCTCCCGTATACTATATGGGATTGCTTGAATTCACGTGTGGTGGTGAAGGCGCCTCACTTGAGGACGGCCGCCGCTGTGTGCGTCACACACACATCCGCGCAGCTCTATCAATTATCCACTCCTATATTTATTTACGAGAGGTGGGCAGTGGGATGGACGGGAGAGATGACGATTCCCAACTTTGTTATAGTCGTTTTATGTGATTCTTTATTAGTTATTTCAGCATTTGCCAATTACGTGACTTTGAAGTGCAGTCACGTACTTTTGTGAGATGTAACTCAATTGAAAACTAGTGAATTTTGAAGAGAAATATTGGAGCAGTAAAACAAATAGGTACTCTTTTTAAAGACACATATCCGTAATTTGTAAATTTGTTTTCGACTTTTTATTGATATTTTGATATTTGGTACCTACTTACATTCTCTGTAAAATCAATACTAACCTAAAAATTCGCTCCGAAGACCTGTCTTTGTGGAAAAGATTACTCGAGGGACAAAATATCCGGGGTAGCGTGAACGTGAAACCTTCTTTACCCAAAATAATGTGTTAATAATTCACATAACTCATAAGCAAGTCCGCAAAGTCGAGTCTAATCCCGTGAGCCGGCGTTAGCCGTGTGACGAGCGCGCGTGTGTGGGTAAGGCGAAGTTAGATCGTCCACACTTTACCGCGGGCCTCGATAGGAACGAGCGCCCGGAGGAGGCAGTGGATCCTGGTGTATTTATAAGAATAAGGCTGGCTTGCACCATTTTTTTTTTTTTTTTTNTTGGTTTCAAGCTTTCTTGGGCGCGTCTCGCGGTTTGGGGTTTACGTAGTCGTAGTACTTGTATGAAATGATTTTGTATAGTTGCACATCACATGCTTTGAATGACTTTTCAATAAAGGCTGTGGCTCACAAAAATAAATGATATAATCAAAATCAGAAGATTATTATTTTGTGTTTCATGGGATTGCTTAATTAAATTTCGTATCTTTTTTTAATAATAGTAACTACAGTTGGGTAGGTACTCATTATCCTTTTCAACTTAGTTAATCGTTTTTGTTTAAAAACTAAATCTGATTTCTTTGAGTTCATCTTCCAGACACAGTACAGACACCAGCAAATTAAACTGCACCCTGTGGCACATTATGCAACTTTATTACTAAGTATAATTTTATATTATTATGCAAGTATAATCCGGTGTGATGTCGACTTATTAAAATTATGAAAATTACGAGGGCTCAATAATTATGTGCTTCGTAGCAAACGAAGGCAAATAATTAAAAATCATTATTGTATCGTCAATAATTATTTCGTAAATACCTTTAAAGTATTGTATGATCACTGTAAATAAATTTCTTCGTGAGATATTTTGTAGGTAAAATTTTCATCCTTCATAGTTGTTGGGAATCATTACAAATTTTCCATTCTGGTTAGTGGGAATCGTTAATAATCATCGTCATTTACTTATAAAATTAAATACAATAGAGAATAGTAGAAATATTACAATGTTTAAGTAGCTCCCAAAAATTACTAGTAATATGTTGATTGGATTTGAGAGCTGAAATTGATTTTTCAGCTCTCAAATCCAATCAACATATTACTAGTAATTTAAATATCTATGTAATGAAAATTCATTCCTTTACATTTTCAGCGCTTAAAATCCGTTGGTTGGAAACAATTTTATAAATAAAGTAGATTAGTTTATAATATTTTTAATTCAGGAAAAAGCATGAAAAGCCGCTGTCGATTCCAGTGAAAATTTAAAGCTTTGCAAAAGCTTGCAGTGGGCACACCAAATAACGCTTAGTATAAATAAAACAACCTATTAATTTGAAATCGTTTATTTATTTAGCGGAGTCGGCAAATAATGTATGATTGTAATTGGCCGATTTGTAACTCTAGTTATACTTGTTTTATGTTTGGAAATAACTATCGGGGATTTCATAAAAATGTAGAGTCATTAATTGAACTAGCTTTTAATTTAAACGAAATAGTAACAAACTTGGTTTTAGAAACAGGTTTTGAAATGCGTTGGTGAAATAAGTTATTGAAATTAAAATGAATGAAACTTTATCATAAAGTGTTATATCTATGTATTTAGGTAAATTTTGTCACAATGTTAGCTTTGTTCTAATGTACTAAAAAGACAAAATTTTAATATAAAATATTTAACAGTGAAATAATTGGGTACCTAACTAAACTATTTGAAGTCCACAATAT